GCAGGTAGCTTTGTGTGTTTGCTGTGGAATTGACAGGCTTCACATCGCTGGACCATGTCGCATGCATCTTTGAGGGCTGTTGGCTAGAAAAACCCTTGTCGAAAGGCTTTCCCGACCAATGTCCGACCGGCGGCGTGGGACCCACATATGCCTTCGTGTATGTCGAGGAGGAGTTGTCTGCCGTCGTCGGTAGAGACGCATTTGAGAAGTATCCTGTTTGGCGCTTTTTTGTATAAGTCGTTGCCGATCATACAGTAGATTTTTGCTTTACGGGTTATTTTCTCGGCCTCTGTGTCGTCTTCGGGTAACTCCTCGCTGCTGATGAATTTGATTAATGGGGTGCGCCAGTCATCCGTTGTTTCAATGTCAGCCACGGCGCGTTCTGCCGCGATGACCTCCGAGCTGATGTCGAGGGTGCTTGGGCCAACTTCGCCGCTTACTTCTTTTACCGAAGGTTTTGTCAGGATGTCGAGAAAGGTGCTGGGCTCGAGCGGTTCTCGTCTGGATGCGCGTCGGGCTAGGTCGTCTGGCTCGACGTTGTCCTTGCGATAGACGTGTCGGACCTCGATCCCGTCGAACCTCTTCTCGAGCTTCCTGACTTCTGCAAGGTACTTGGATAACTCGGGGTTAGAGCATTTATAGTCTTTGTGCACCTGGTTTGCGACTAGCTCAGAGTCCCCTTTGACGATTAGTCGCTTGGCGCCAAGTGCGGCTGCATCTCGTATCCCGGCAAGTAGTCCTTCGTATTCTGCAGTGTTATTCGTTGCTCTGAAGTTAAGGTGGATTGCGTGTTTGAATTGATCTCCGGATGGAGATGTTAAGATAAATCCAGCGCCTGCTCCTTGGCTATTGAGTGCACCATCGAACGCCATTGTCCATGTCTCATTGTCGCCTTGGTTATCTGACTTGTTATCTGGCATGGTCCAATCGGCCACGAAATCGGCGAGTACCTGAGATTTAATGGCTGTTCGCGGCACGAAGTGGACATCAAATTGGCTTAGCTCGACTACCCATTTCGCGATGCGGCCGACAACGTCTTTGTTTCTGACAACTTCGCCAAGAGGGAAGGAGGAAACAATTGTGACCCTGTGGGCTTGGAAGTAGTGGCGTAGCTTCCTTGATGTCATAATGACTATGTAGAGCAGTTTTTGAATCTGTGGGTATCTTGTCTTTGCGTCATGGAGAGCTTCGCTGACGTAATAGACTGGTCGCTGTACTTTCTCTCGCTCGACGACAATGACAGTGCTAACGGAGTGTGGCGTAGCGGCAATATAAAGGAATAATTCTTCATTAGGTTGGGGAGCAACGAGTACAGGGGGGTTTGATAGGTAGCGCTTGAGTGCAATAAATGCCTCTTCGGCTTCCTGTGTCCATACAAATTTGTCTTGTTTCTTCAATAAGGCGAAAAAAGGTTGTCCTCGTTCTACCATCCTAGCGACGAATCTGCTTAATGCTGCCATGCATCCGGTTAGCTTCTGTACCTCCTTGAGTCTTGTGGGCGACTTCATGTTCTCGATTGCTTTGATCTTCTCGGGATTTGCCTCTATTCCTCTGCCAGAAACAAGGAATCCGAGTAGCTTGCCCGACGGTACTCCGAACATGCACTTCTCTGGATTGAGCATGAGGCGATATCGTCGGAGGTTGTCGAACGTTTCCCGGAGGTCATCAATCAATGAGTCGCTTGTCTTGGTTTTGACAACGATGTCGTCGACGTACGCTTCGACATTGTTGCCAAGCTGATTGCTAAGTGCGCCCTGGACCGTGCGTTGGAAAGTATTCCCAACTGTTATCAATCCGAAGGGCATCTTGACGTAGCAAAATACCCCGAACAGTGTGATGAACGTTGTTTTTTCCTCGTCCTCCTTCGCCATGCTAATTTGGTCGTAGCCAGAGTAAGCGTCGAGGAAGCTTAATAGTTCGCATCCGGGTGTCGAATCCACCAGTTGGTCTATTCGAGGGAGAGGAAAGTGATCCTTGGGGCACGCCTTGTTGAGGTCTGTGAAGTCGACGCACATTCTCCATTTTCCATTGGCTTTCCGCACCATAACTGGGTTGACGAGCCACTCTGGATGGAGGACTTCTCTGATGAAGCCAGCTTTGAGAAGTTTGTCGAGCTCTTCTCGTATGGCTTGTTTTCGATCTGGTGCAAATCTCCGCAGTCTTTGTTTTACTGGCTTGGTATCGGGTCGCACCATTAGTTTGTGCTCAATCACCTCCCTGGGGACCCCCGGCATGTCGGACGGTTGCCAAGCGAACACGTCGGCATTGTCGCGGAGGAAGGCGATGAGCGCGAGTTCCTATTTCTCGTCTAGTGTAGCCCCGATTTTGACAGTCTTGTCGGGGTTAGCACTAGAGAGCGGAACGATCTTGATGGCGCCGTCCGGCTTCGGCGTCTTGTTTGGCTTGCTCACTTTCTTGGGTGGCTCAGACATGGCGGGTGGAGTGGGCGTTTGCTCGACCATGTCGAGGCTTCGCTTGTTGCACTGCACCGCCAGCTTTGCGTTCCCTTGAATAGTGATTGTTCCCTTCGGTCCCGGCATCTTGAGCACTTGATATGCGTAGTGGGATGCGGCCATGAACTTCGCAAGTGCAGTTCTCCCGATGATGGCGTTGTAAGCTGTATCGAATTCAGCGACATCGAAGGTGATCTGCTCTGTTCGGAAGTTGTTGGCTTGGCCAAAGGTCACAGGCAGCGTAATCTTGCCCAAAGGTCTGGATGATGATTGGGGAGTAATTCCATGGAAGGGTTGATCAGTTGGTGTCAGCTCACTTTGTGGAATTCCCATTGCATCCAAAGTGGTGGCAAAAAGAAGGTTGATCGAGCTGCCCCCGTCGATGAGAACTCGTGCTACCTTGATGTTCCGAATAGTGGGTTCGACCACGATCGGATACCGTCCCGGGATAACCGAGGTTTTGGGATGGTCTGCTTCCGAGAACTCCATCTTCTGCTCAGACCACTTCATCCTGGGTGCAGCCCCCTGCCATGTCGAACAAACTTCGCGTTCCACTTTCTTGTATTCTCGCTTGGAGGAGTACGTCATGGAGCCGCCGAAGATGTGTGAAACATGGAGGTCGGAGTCTGGGTACGCGAAGTCCGATTCGTGAGGAGGTGACTCCTCGTTTTTCTCGACAACGCGTACTCGCTTGCCTTTTTCAAACGCCATGTGCTTCTCGGGCGACTTTTTGAAAACAAGGCAATCCTCCAGAGAATGTCTATCTGTTTTGTGTATGGGGCACCAAGATTTCTTTGTTTCGCTTCCTTGTGGGTCCGGGTGCTTGGGAGGGTTCGCGTATTCTGCTGCGAGGACTTCCGCTTGAGCTTTCCTTTTCCCGTTTTTGCGATTTTTCTTCTTGTTTGACTCAGATGTGTCTGCAGCTGATTTCTTCTCTCCCCCAGTCTTCGGCTTGTCGTTCTTGCGCCTTAGTGCATCATCCACGTGGGCACACCTTTCCACGATCTCGAATAGTCTTCGAGTAGTTGTGATGCGTCTTGTTGCCAACTCCTGGGTAGTGTAGCGATCTCTGACACCAAACTTAAAGGCGCGAATTACATAAGCGTCGGTGATCTCGGGGATGGTGTTCCTGCACTCGTTAAAGCGCCGAACGTATTCCCTCAAAGATTCCCCTGAGTTATGTGTTAACGCGTGAAGATCGTCTTCGATCGCATGACGCTTGTATGTTCCTTGGAAATTGGCGACGAACTGCTGCCACAGGTCTGACCACGAAGAAATTGAGTAGGGGGGAGATACATCAGCCACGAACGTGCAGAACCCTTCAACGCGGTTGGTAAATAGTTTGCCAACGCATTGTCATCTGCTCCAGCGGCATAAATGTAACATCCTGAAAATGTGTCATTTTCTAATCCTGCATCATGCCGATTCTTATGTTTTTAATAACCTCCTAAACTTAGGACAGTATAATTAGAGGGACCTCCTAAAACTAACTCGCACAAAACCTCTATAGTATTTAATCTCTTTTGTGTTTTTCATTTTAAAATATATATTTGGTTAAATTGAGGTATTTCTTGATTTGGTTTAAAACCTTCTTTTGACAAAAATTCTTTTATTCAAATTTAGTTTGAAAACCCCTTTCTATTTTTTATGAATTATGGTCCAATAAATTCTCCACTATTATCCTATAACTTAAACCAAATGATTCCAATTGGATTCAATTGTCGACCCGTCCTTTGATCTTAAACCTATCCTTTGATTCCAAACCGGCCTATTCTTATTTATCGCCAAATATCTAAATTCTTCATTTTGATCTAGCCGCTAATTTAATTCCTGTGGCTTGATTTCTTTCTCGGCACAAGAATATTATTATTACAAATATTGTGAATAATTGCTCTCGTGCTAAGAAAATAAATTATATCCTTGTCACCTAAATTTCCTTTTAGCCTCAAACAATTCCTTGAAACCTATGCCATATATATTAGGGTTCAAATCCTATCCTTTTGCCTCCACCTATTTTCCTACCATATTCCCAAAAATATTTTGAGGAATACTATTAATTTCCTTTTCTATTTGAGTGCTTCCAAATAAATTCCCTCAAACTCCACCTCTAAATATTGCACTCAAATAAATTAGAAAATCTCTTTTGTGAATTCTCTCCGAATTCAAATTCTTCGCAAAACCTAGTTATCCAAATCAAATATATAAATTAGACTTCTTTCTTTTTGTCATCGGGCCGAAACTCCGTTCTTTCTTCCTTTTGGCCCAATCCTTTTTCTTTCTATTTTCCTCCTTCCTCTTGGGCTTCCGGCCCAGCTAAGCCGAGCCGGCCCAAGTCAGCCCACAACCCAGCCGCCTCCCTCCTCCTCCCAGTGCGCGTGTTCCACACGCGCACGCCGCCGCAAATGCCGCCGCAAACGTCGCCGCTAAGGAATCAAGCCGGCGCCGTCTTTTCTTCCTTCACGCTAGCATCACCGTGACCGAGTTGACGACCGCCTCCACAACCGCCTTTCATCGCCTATATAAGAGGAGGAACCCCCTCTGTTTATCCCCGACATCCGAGCTTGAAGCTCTCCTCTTTTCTCTCTCTAGCCATGGCCGGCCGTCCACCGATCTCCCTTACCGGAGCGTTGTCGGCCAAATCCTCGCGCCACTAAATCCGCCCCGTCGAGGTGATTCCATTTTGCCCCTTTCCCCCTTCCCTTTTCTTTTGAATCAAACCACCACCGCTACTCTATTTACTGCCGCGGCCGAGCTTTTGTCGCCGCCGTTCCAGCCACTCACCTCTTCCCCTCTTCCTTCCACATACCTCCCCGAGTTCTCAATGTTCGGGAACACACTTTACCACCGCCGTCGAGGCCGTTCCATCATCAGTGCATCGGCGCCCTATTCTCTCTCTCCCCTCTGTTACCGGGCTGGAAGGAGGAGAAGAAAGAAAGTGACGGGAGGAAGAAGAGGAGGAGAGAGAAAGAAAAGAAAAAGAATAGAAAGGCTGACAGGTGGGCCCCATGAATAGTAACCTTTCATATTTTCTAGATTTAATTCAAATCCTATTCTTTAAAAGCCCATATCTCCTAAACCGTAGATCCGATTCCAGTGAAACTTGGACCTAAATTCATATAAATTCAAATGCTTCATTTTGATGCCTAATTGCTATTTTATAATTTTATTTGAATTTATTCAAATATCATTTGAATTTATATTTGCCTTTTGCAAATATTTTCTTTTACCCCAAAATACCCATTAGCCACTGAAAAGCTGCCGGTTGGAACTTTACGCCTTCCACGGGGACGTTCGTGTGGTTTACTATCCTCGACGTTGGACTATTGGTTGTAAAGCCCGGCAAAACCAAACCTAAGGTCGAAGTGCTGCTCCTGGCACCCCACGCCTCGATGCGTACAGCGGTCGGAGCTTCACTATTCCCTCGACCTCCACAGTACGTCGCGCAGTTAGATCTCGAGCTCTGTGTAATCCTAGCCGCTCCGCCGCCATCCACGGTTGTCGGAGTAACACTTCCGCCTCGCTAAACTTGCACAAACCTCCCATCCCTCTAGCCGTTATATTGTCTATCGACACCAGCTAGAGAAGATACCAAACCTAGTCGTCATGCTTTAGCGACGACTAGAGAACACTCAAACTCTAGCCGATATTTATCTTACCTCAATATCGGCTTAAACAATTGAAACCATAGTTAGCTTATTAACCAGACTCCCCGCCAGCTATAATCTCAACCATTTACCCTCCAACTACCTAGAACATATACATAAAATATAGAGCCTGGCCGATATATTGTCCCACTCCACAATCGGCTTAAATATGACTAAACCCTAAGTATAATGCTACCCAAACCTACTATCAGCCAATACCAGTCACATATCTGCTCAACCTGTTCAATTATCCACTATACTCCCTATCCACCAACCAATCAGAGCCTGCACATAAAATATAGGTGACCGTAGCCACTTAATTCCCTCTCCACCCCAACCACCAACTCTTTAGAACCCGCGTATAAAATATTAGCCTAATAATCCTTATACCCTATAAAGGAGATAGGTTATACCCTAAACCCTAGCCCTCTGTACTGCTTATCTCTTTCTTGCTATTTTATGGCTTTTATTGAATTTGGTTCTTCCTTTTCTTTAGTAGAGTCTGTTATATTTTAGATGGCAACCTGTGGTATTTCAAAGATCGGATAATCAGGTTGCCCATCTCGGATTTATTTGCGTTGGAGCAAGGCAAGTTATTATTCCTCTCCTTTGAGCATAACTACCCTATATTCTATATCTCTGTTCTATGCATTAGTCATACATGATTTCAAATGCATAACCTGAACATAGCAAACCAGATATGCTAGATTTTGCTTAGCCATGCCTAGTTAGATTGCATAAAATATAATAAACTTAGATTGGGACAGTACGGTAGAAATGGTTGATTTCCGGGTGGCTAGTACTGTTCCAACCGACATAAAACTGCCAAGTACATGTGAAGAACATACGAGTACGACCACAATTCTCGTATGGGCATAGACCTAGCTGATTAAGTTATCTAGCAAAGGTGGTACCTCTGTATAGTGGTTCTTCTTAAGTCCTCGCGCAGGAGGCAAACTTACGCCGAGCAGGGCGATTATGATATTTACCGAGGCGCAGGTAAATATCTTGATTATCTCGCGAGCTGTGTGTGAATTATGAAAACCTGATTGAGATGACGGGGGTCTCTCAACCAGTTCTCTCTGAAAACCCCGGGAACGCCAGAACTCCTCTTGCTGCTGATAACGTTACGTTCAGAGCGCATGGGGACTAGAGTTCATGGAACAGGTACCACTGATGTTAGTAACCGAAAAGCTTTGCCATGACAAGGCTAATGTGTTTGGCACGTCATGGATTGCGGGTAAAGCGTACATCTACTGCAGTATGAATATTATTAAAACTATTCAAATAGCCGTGCTCGCGGTTATCGAGCATTGGGACTCACAATGGCATCTTGGTTAGAAACATAATTTCAAACTCTATTAAATACTGTTGCATATCAAACATTTCAGGATTTCTACTTCTTTATTCTCAGCTTTCTGCAATTAAACCTAGCTCTACTCAAATATTACCATTTCATACATTTATTATTGAATATAATAGCTTGCTGAGTACGTTGTACTCACCCTTGCTTCAACCCCCTTTTCCAGAGTCATTTTGGAGTTCTTGCCGAAGCCGGGAGTTCAATCATAAGTTAGTCTCATTCTAACTTAATTCTCAAATATAGATTAGATAGATAGTTTAAGTCTATAGCAAAACACTAGAGTTGAGTCATCGTATAGCTTCTACTGTAATAGTTAGCCACAAGTTTGTAAATACCCTATCATTTTATGTAAAGGAATCTCCTTTAAAACCTTGATCAAATGTATGCAATGAAGATCCAGATCGTTGAACCTGTATCAATCTACTGATCCAGGTCTTGATACAGTCTAAACATGTCGGTTTTCGAATCATTAGTTTTGGGACCCGACAATAAAGCACTGTCAAGTAGACTTGGAGGAATTCTTCTGGGTCGGTGCTCCCATCATACTTTTCAATAGCTCCGGGTCGGAATCTCTCAGGCCATCGGACATCACGTAGGGAACGACCGAAAGCCCTGCACCCAGCGCTTGGAGCGGCGGGTTGTCGGCGGTCGCGTGACCTTCGTGGATCTTGGTCTGACGATGAAGAGGACTCGGATGATGATGATGATGACGATGGGTCGCTTGGTTCCGGCGTACGATTACGAGGGTGACGACCTGGATCTCGGGAATCTTGTCTTCGTCTCTCGCTGTTGTCTCGACGCCGATCTTCTTCATCTTCGTCATTACGGCGACGGCCATGACCAATGCTGTCCGGCCCCCGCCGGTCGCGATCGTCGTAGTCTCGGTCCTCGTTTGGACGACTTCTTCGATCATGGTGTCGTGAGGAGACATGACGCCGGGAGTGGTTCACGTCATCCCGTGCTCGCCGTGCTTCTCGACGACCATTGATTTGATCTCGAAGATCGCCAGTACCACGAGGTGGAGGGGTAGCTTGTCGAGGTGATTCTCTCCGTTCTAGAATTTCACCGTTAGCATCGCCGACGGGAGATCGGTTTTGTTGGGCTGCGGTGGCGGCTTCTTCGAACGCGTTGCTGAGGTTAGTCACCGATGCCCGTAGTTGTTCCGTCCAACGCTCGAGGTCGTCGTTTAGAACAGGATCGTAAGGTGTTTCCCTCAGTATGGCCTAAACAGCCCTGATGTGTTGGGCTGGGGTAGTCGATTGATTCGCCGTCTCCGCGTTGGCTTGTGCTGACGTGCCAACGCCATCGATAGCCAACACCTCCCGCGCCGCGTCTGATATCGATGACCCCAACGAATCGATCTGGGGCCGGAGTCGCTCCTTGTTCCTTGCCGTTATCCCTGACGGGGACGTATGACTTAGGAGACGGAGTTTTCATAGCGCCGAGTAGAACTTTGCAACTCGAGAGGTCGTGATTCTTTGTCTTATGAATAGGACAATAGACGTCCCGAGTTGGAGAAGTACGTTGAATTCCACGTTCTTTGCAGGCGCGGATTTCAGCATGGACGTTGATGAATACCCAGCAATCTTGAAGAGTATGTTTCTTGGTTTTATGGATAGGACACCAAGACCTGGTAGTTTCGGAAGTCATCTTTGTTGGCCCGTGATTTTCGTCGGGGGGACAAGGCTTGGCCGCATCAGAATCCTTCACGAGTTTGGGTGTAGTCGGTAATCCGTTCTCTGTTTCAACGGGTGGATTTTTCGACATGTAGGCGTCTCGGTTCGTAGCCACTGCGTTCTCGTTGCCAGTTATTGGGGGACCGGTTGAGATCGGCATAGTGGTGTAAACCGGGTAGACGATTTCGCCGACTTGAGTCCATACCAGCATTGTTGAAGTAGGAAGAACTTCACCGAAGCTGGTGTTGGCATTGTTGTCGACGAAGCTTGATGGCATAGTAGTAGAACCTTGAATACCAGGCCCCCCTACCTGGCGCGCCACTGTCGACGGGGGATACCCGTAGACCGGATATAGAGGGTATTGGGGTACGCTGGTATAAGGATCTACGTAGTATGACATCGAGCAATTAAAAGACAAGAATTATACTGGTTCAGGCCCCTTGATAGGTAATAGCCCTAATCCAGTTGATATGGGATTATATGGTGGAAAACACAGATTACAAAGGAAAAGACGGAACTCAGGGGATTTGGCGAGATTGTAGTCGAGATGATTCGACTAGCTCTCGTCGACTTGGCTCCTTGCAGGCTCCGACTTCGTAGGCTGTGTGGGTTGTGTTGGCTCTGAGATTCGATGATCTATGCCCTCCCCGGGGGGTCCCTTTTATACCGTAGGTTGGGTGCTCTCCGAGTAGGACTCGAACATACCAGACCTGGCACGATACGTAGGTAACCCAATTCTTGTCCGAGGAGGTCTCTCTTCGTCCATTGACTTTACGAAGAGTTTCCTTAGACGCCAAAGGATTTATCCGTGCACATGTGAATAGGCCTTGTCAATACGTGACGTATGTCGAGGGGTAGAGGGTATGCCTGACCCGTAACCCTGACAAAATCGAAGTTCGAACGGATAAGTTAAGACCTCGAGAAGTTCAAATTCAGAGAAAATCTAATGACAGAAAGAAAAGGAATATTCCAGGAATATCCTATGGATATTAATTCTTTAAATTGAATTATTTTTAATAAGAAAATTATAGTGGGGCCCACTGATTAGTGGCTCAGGTTTTGGTGGACTCGGTGTATGATGGGTCGGCTGGCGTGGATGCCTCGTGGTGACACGTGTATAGAGATAGATGACATGGCAATGACGTGGGTGGATCTAGGGCTGATGTGCCGAGGGAAGGAGTTATGGTAATCTGACTCTAAAGATTTAAGCAAGGAGATCAAATGGCTGTATGTTCCTCATGTTTGATACCCTTGGAATACTCTAAGGGAAAGTGCTACCGCGGTATTCTGTGCGCCTCAGATTTATCTGTGAT